CATCAAGCAAAACATATTTTGGACTTCTTACGTGTTCGATCGATTCAATATATTTTATAGAAGAGAATCTTACCAACTAGTGAAAATCCACGCATTACGCGGAACAACTATTTAGATGGTTTAAAAAATTATTTTAATATATTATATATATATATATATATTAACATTGATATATTTAAATGATGTTTAAGATTTATGCTCACAATTTATATTTATACAAATTAAAACATCATTTTTAAATGTTTAATATGAAAGTGAAACATATGATGATATATACAAATATTTTTATTTGAACACTATAATTTCATTTTTACTCTAAAATTCAGCGTATTCATCTTGAATCTTTTTGTTATATTCAGTGTTCACTATTGTAAAAAAATGAATGTTGAATCCACATATCGTCGAAAAGATAAAACTTATATAGTGAAATATGCAATAATTTATAGATAAACATACATGTAAAAAAAATTCGTGAAATTCAATTGCTTTTGAAATTGATTGATCACATATTTAGTTTACAGAATTTGATTCTTATATTATCTAAATTTATATAGATTTTACAATGTTTTAATAACATGACAGTTTTTTATACAACTTTATTTTTATTCATGTCTTTGTGGGTATTTGCATAAAACACTGTATAAAAACTAAAAACCAAGATCGAATGTTACATAAAAAAATTCATTATTTTTTAATCGATCTCTTAGAATTTGAAAGAGATATTGAAAAAAACTATCTATTAGAATATGTTTTTACATATTTTAAATTAATTTATGAAGATAATTTGATGTTAAATGTTTACTTTAAATTAATATATTGATATCACATTTTTATTTTAAAGAATCAATACAAAAATCTTAAAATCTAGAGGGTAAAATGTCAAAATTAAGTAAAAGTGAGGTCTTAAAAAAAAATAGAAAGTTGTTAACATAAAAAATGATACATGGCAACCTCTCAAAAATTCAGTTAGTTGAAACCTTAAAATATTATATAAAATTACATGGTAAGCTAGTGGTAATGGTAGCGCGCAGAGTTAGTTCAATTAGTGGTAAGTGGTGACACTTGGCTCCGAATCCACGAAAATTAGAGTTTATGTCTGAACTTCAAAATTATATTTCTTTTTTGACATTTAAAACACAATTTAGAAACCTAAAAAAATCCGAATCAAAATAGTGTTTTGTACTTTCATACAAAACCGTAGACGAGAAGTGTTTTTTTTGGGTATAAATCGAATGAAAAATGGTTAGACCTCGATTAGGAATATCTCCTTTTCCATCTTTTGTCTGTTTTCTTTTAGTTTTGTCTTATGACTTATAGACATTTTAAAGAAATTTAATGATAAAAAATGTTTAAGATAAGTTTTTTAATTCTATAAGTTACAAATTTACTGTTAATTATTTTTCATCAATTTAAATTAACTAAATAGTAAGATAGATCAATTTTCCTTTTTTTTTTCTTCTATGAATTGAAAACTTATTTTCATTAATTTGTATCAATTTAAATTAATAATATAATAAAATAAAACATAAATTATAATTATTTGTAAAATATTCAAATCATCATAGTGATGAAAAAATTATTTATTTTTGGTTATAGCTATAGGGAAATAAAATAAATATCAATGTTGTTATTTTACTAATTGATTAATACAAAAAAAAAAACTC